AAGATTTACAGTATATCTATGAAGCTGGTATGAAAAAGAGATGTGTGCAAATGTTTTGTTGCAGATAATTTGTCTTGAACTGCAAGTGTCTGGGTGTATGTACTGTGAATTTCATGGGCATACATTGTTTCCTAGAGTAGGACTAAGTACACTAAGAACTAAATCCTAGAGTAGAACTGAGTTAGTGTTGCTTATTTAACATCTTAGAAAAGTTAAATCTCCCAGTTCTGTCTGCTCATCATTTCTCTCTGTCTAGTGTGGGATCAGGCTAAGCTAAGCCTCTACAACTGGCTTTGGTATGAAACAACGACGTTTAGTCCTTATGTGGAAGAAACATCTTATGAGAACTCGCTTTTAGTACAGCAATCTGGATCTTTGGCTTTGAGCTCCCTAACGCATGTCCTGCGCAGTCTCACTCTCAATGCGAGGTAAGACACTGTAATACTTCACAGTGGCACTTGGCTGAGGATCCAGTCCTTGCTAGGTGACTGGTCTACACCTAGCAAGAGGCAGTTCCTGTTTTCTGACAACAGTGTTCAAGATGAAGATGGTAGGAACTGGGTTCCAAGTGACTCGTTACTTTAAATGAACAGCGTTTGGATAGAAAGCCTTATTCAGTGATGAGATTCATGTACAAAGTCCTGGTCATGAGGGGAAAAAAATCAGTTAATATTTTCTAATGGTGGGGTTTGGGGGTTTGTTTGAGTTTTTCTTCCTTTTGATCTTCCCCTGTCCTCCTTTCACTTAGGGGGATATTCAGACTGCTTGCACAGTACCAGCTGGAGAATAAGGACAATCCATCTTATCCAGGTATGTGCTCACCTGTTTGGGATGCTGCCATTGCCAGCTCGGTCACAATAGGACTGGCTTTCGGCCTGCAGGTCACATCACCAGCAGCAGAAGTGTAACTGTTGGCTCGGTGAGACTCAGTGACATGGAATGTCTTTCTAGTGGTACTGTCCCTGACACTGACAGGAAAACAATAGACCAGCTGGTTCTGAATGACCTCCTCTTACGTTGACTGTTTTGATGTTAAGACATGACTGAGATCATTCATAAAGGACTGTGGAATTAAAAAAATAAATAAAGGAAGAATATGAATTTACATAACTAGCACTTAAAGGATCAAGGAAAGACAGGAGATTCTGTTCCCATGCTGCTGCTATCTAAGTAACTTCTGGTATGTCCCTGCTTTCTAGGATACATGTGGAATATTCTGTCACTGTCTCTAACAGGTGCTGCAGAGGAATAACATGTTAATAGTGAAGAAAATTGGAAGTAAGAGGAGTTTGATAATCAAGAGAGATGAACCATGTTGGGAAGTGCATTTAAAGCGCTATTAAAATTCTGTTAGGCACACAGGGTGACTAGAAGGTCAGCTGTTTTCCATTAATTACTGCAATACTAGTTTGGCTGTATAACTTGAAAGAAGTGATGGCGTTACTGTAGCCACTGTGGTCTAAGGCAAAGCAAGATTTGTAGGTGGTGATTACATGTGATTTTAGACCTGGAAAAATCTGTCGATCTTAACACTTCAATTTCTTGTTCTTGCCTTTTTCTGTCTCCAGGGTTGTCTTTCCAAGACTTCTACCAACAGTGTCGGGAGGCTTTCCTTGTCAACAGTGACCTGACTCTCAGAGCACAGCTGACAGAGTTCAGGGACCACAAGCTCATCCGGACCAAGCGTGTGAGTTGGGGAAGAAGATAGTTCTGGGTATTCAGCCACCTTGAAAACATGCTTAGTTGCTACTAAGTATCCCTAAGACACCAATCTGAGCTCACAGTGAGGCTGTATTGCTTGAAGCACCGAGGAAGTAGCAACAGGCTGAGATTCTGTAATTGCAGCTCTTTCCATGCCTCCAATTTGTCAACACCCTTTACATGGATAGAGGGCTGTAAAAATGCAGTGTGCTTTGGTTACTCAGCAACCTACAGGTCTCTTCTTCCTGAAGACCTTGAGAGGTAACAGAGACTGGAGCCAGCCTGTCTGCTTCCAATAGTTACCTGTATTTGCATGATGGAAGAATGCAGGTTAGTGCTAAAAATGAGGCAGTGCAGCAGTACTAGATATGGGAACAGAGTGTTGAGGAGATGTGTAGTGTCAGACTGGCATAGCCCACCAGAAAATTTCTCCTATACTGACTTTTCTCAGTATTTGTGCATTTCCAGTGTTGCTCTAGTGAAATATTCCCATTTTTTAGCAATGTAGTCCTTCTGAATGCTGGCCAGCTCTCACACAGGCTGCAAATAACATTAGCGTGGCGGTGCTATCTAGTGGCTTGCATTGCACTGTGCACTGATGTTAACAGAATGTGTATGCATGTCTGTTCTCAGGGAGCTGACGGTGTGGAATACTTACTAATTCCTGTGGACGACAGTACCCTGACCGACTTCTTAGAGAAAGAGGATGAAGATGTATAACGTCTCTCTGTTCTCAGAGTGTCTACAGTAAATGTTCTCAAGGGCTGCTAGAGAATGGCCTATGCTCAGATCTCTCTCCCTCCAACCCCAAGGGTGCTGGACTACTTACTGAAATGTCATTGTAATGAATGATGCTCATTGTTCAACTACTTGAGGTGGTTTGGAATTATGACTTCTGTAAGCAAGGCATCTCTTGCTCTGTAGTTAGATTTGCTGCTTTGTCTCTTAGCTCAGATGATGCCTTCTTCATATCTATGCAGCCAACCTTACAGCCAGAAAAACAAACTGTAAGATTGTGCCTTCTGCTCTCTACCTCACCAGACATGAGGGTTTGATTGGAGCGGTTTACTTGGGAAATGTAAATCACACGATGGTCAGAGCTTTAGTTTGTACTAGTGGTCCAACTTTTCTCAACTGAGTGCTTTCCAGTACTCCTTTACCAGGTAGACAAGACTAGCTACCAGTGTATGAAGAAGCCAAGATTTACAATGCTAAAAGACCTGCCTTGACTGCAGGAGGAAAGGCGAATACTAGTGGATTTGGGACACTGTGCATAACTTATTAAATTCTAGAACTGAAGGACTTGCCCAAAACCCAAATCCTCTTCTAAGAAGATTTAGATAATCTAAATTCTGATGGACACAAGTCACTGCCTGATGGTGAGGGTGAGAAGATCCAGCTTCTTTCATTTACTTTCTAAGCTGCAATCCAGAAATATGAAGAGGCTGTGAAGGTTTTTTTGCTTATTTTTAAAAGCTTGATTGTATATATGTATTTTTTACATCGGGAGTGTCCACTGATCATGGAGGAGGCCTTAAATGCCACTTACAAGCTCTCCCTTTTTTAGAGCCCTTAGAGGTTGGGAGACTGTTGAAGTTTGACAGCTTTTTTTCACATTTTTTCTCAGGTATATGGGAGTAAGCCCCATAGTTCCATCAAATGTAGTCTGCTAGACAGACTTCAGGGACTCTGTATGTTTAATATTTGGTAGCTGTGTTACAGCTTGAATGTTGTAAAAGTTCAAATCAACCAAATAAAGTATTTTATTAATTTTCATTAGCTTGTCTTGTCTTCCACAATCTTTTTATGGTACAGGAAGATGGAGATCGTTCTGGCAATTGTGTGAAAGCCTTATTTTCATTATTATGTCAAATATCTGTGCAAATCCTCATGCAGTGTCCAGAAGATTTCAAACTAATGGGTGAAAATACTTTATACTGTTTCTTATAAGGTATCAAAATTAAAAATAGTTTGCCTGCCTTTTAATACCAGTATATGGCTTTTGAGGAGAACCAAAACACCACATGGAGTAATTTTGTTACTTGGTCTGCTCCTCACTGACAGAAGCAACCACAGAGGTTTACAGCCTGCCTTTTGTTTGTATTGAATACATGGGGTATCTACTTATCCCACCAACAATTTGGTTCTTCAAATATAGGATCTAATTGGCTTTGCTGTGGAGTCCGACGGGGAAAACTGGTACATGCCAGGAGTACTCTCCAGCTCCCTCCCCTATAATGTTTTCCAACTAACATTCTCTTTTGGTGGCACATGGATCTGCATTTTACTGGCTGCAATTCCAAAACTTTGCAAAATGCCTCATGTCCTGCCTGTCACTACTTAGGCTACCGTCAGAACCTCTAAAACTGGCATCAGCCCAAGTTCTGCGAGTTAGATGTAGAGTTGAAGAACAAGAACTCTGCCACTTGAAGAGATGTGTTGTTGGAGAAACTTAAAAAGTATTGTAGCTAAGCAGCAACCACATCCTATTTTGCAGTCCTTTGACTCTCTTCACAGTTCCTATGGAATTCAAGATTTAATTTCTATTCTGAGTACCTACGGAACACACCAGCTAATGACACCACCTACAGATAGCGATACCATGGTGCATTTTCAGTGCAGTTATATGTAGTTTTCTAGATGTGACATTCACTTTAGTGAGGTGCTCTAATTATCCTGAGTTTAGAGTTATCTGCTAACAGTTTTGGAGGACTGCCAAATTCCCACACAGGCCAGGAGGAGGGCTGCAGTGTAATTAAAAACCATAGTTACAGAAACTTTTTAAAAGACAGCAAGCAAGAAAGGCACATTAAATTTACAGGTTTGTTAAGGAATCGAGCTGTAACCTTTCACAGCTTTTTTTAACTGAGAGTCTTCCTATTAAAAAGCCTTAAAGCTGCATTAATGGTGGATTGTGCAACTGAATACTAGTACCAAATACCTGAATTGTGTTCTGTATTTGCATATGAGTGATGTCTTAATAAAACTTAATAAAACTGTTAATGCAAATGGGTGATCCACACCCTTTTGTTAACTATTATCAGGAGATTTATTAGCTAAAATATCATTGACTTGTACTGACATGATTAGATATAACTGCCGTAGAGTAGAACTGCTGTGTAATCTTAAAACGAGATAAATCAGGTTTTCATATATTACCCAAACAAATGCTTGATTATCATGGTTATCAAATGTATCTAATAAGACTACAGAAACAGTACATTTATTCAAGTGCAGCCCAGTAATTGGAGCCCATAAGCCTCCAGTAGCCCAAAACAAGCATTTATTTATCTGACATATGTCAAAGTCTATCCCAGACTTTGAGGGAACATATACAATTATTTGGTACTGAACCAGTTCAGAGCATCTTCATGAAGCCTGCAGTTGGATAGGTCTGTGCAAGAGACCACAAAACTCTTGACTCTTTTTCCTTTTATCCCTATGCCACCTGGAGGGGATCTCTATCTTTCTCAGACACAATTATGCTGATTTTGTTCTGTAGGTGGATAGTTAACGTGTCACGCAGCTCTGACAAGAAGCCTCGCTCGGTGTTGCTGTGCTCACACAGAATAACACTTATCCCATTGGCAACAGCATCCAGAACGGCGTGGTGGGACATCTCTCCTGCCATTTTGAGAGAGAAATGTCATGTAGATCGCTAACAGTACACTTCAGGTAACCAGTTCTTAGCAATGCATGCAGAATCTTAGCTAGAAGCTGGGAAGGCGTAACAGGGGATAGAGCCCATAAGGGGGATGCAATACTATCAGCTTAGTATAAAAACTCAGCACACTCCTACTCTAGTGTGTCTTGAACGATTATTCAGCTGATATTCCCCATACACAACTGAGTCAAAACCACACAAATTCCTTGCCCTCTGAGTAGTGGTAGATTCTGCCACTTTGGGCAGGAAATAGTGCAGAGCAGTTTGGAAGCTGACTGTCTGGATGTCAAGTGGGTTAGTGTGATGGAGGACAGCAATTGGGAAGCTTTGCAAAGAAACTGTCTGAGGGTCAGCAGGGCTGTACATGAGGGGGTGATGGGAGATGTACCTTGCTAAAGAACTTGCTCAAATTAAGTACTACAGAAAGCAAGACAGCCTTCACATTGTTGAGCAAGCTGCAGAGAGTACCTCTCCCACTGTCAGAAAGGAGGATAAGTGCCCCTTTGGTCAGATACACTACGGGGTACCTTTGCAAGATTCTATAGACTACAGTATATTCCATTGCCATTAGGGAATTCTGTAGGGAACTGATACCTTGTATCTTGCCAAAGGAGAAACACTCTGAAGGTTACTATAGACTGCTGTCAACACTGGTTTTGCATTGAAATAATGCATAGGAATGTTTTAATTCAAATAACCTTCACTGTGCTACACAGCCATCTGATCCATGTTACTTCAACATTATTCTCCTATCATTCCAATAACTGTTTCTCAGTTGTAACAGGTAATTCTTAATGGCCAAATCTTTCAACAGCCAGTCAACTCTTTTTCCTTTTCTCCCCTTTTTTTTTCCCCTAGTGACTATTTTTATAAAGATAACAAAAAAACAACATAATCTTTTACCTGTGAGATAGAGGTCAGCTTCCGTTCCCTTCAGGACACTGCTCCCAGAACCAGCACAAAGAGCAGCTTTTTTCACTGGTGATTCTGCAGGATACAAGGTGCCACAGTTAAACTCATTTCCTTCTGTTCAGCCCTCATGTCAGTATCGCTATTAACTGTTTCAGAATAACTACTACCTTGATTTTAGGGTAAATGTAAGTTTGTTGGAGGAAGAGACACATTGGTCAGTTTGAAACAGTCATGGGCCCATAACGTTCTGATAACACAGCAAAATCCTCTGTACCAAATTAACATGTAGGTTTTTTCTTCAAGGGGTAAGAAAGTTTGCAGAAAACTACACATGGAGGCTGGCTGCTGTCTAGTTCTTTCCTAGTAAAGTATTAGTTAGGTTTCTGAACCCTTTATAATAGGCTGCTACTCTTTCCATGATGCTCCTGTTCTACCATCATGAGTTTTCCAACTAATGATGCCACTAAGGCAGAGTTTTGCCTCTGAGATACACCGGTTCCTAACTTTTAGCTCTCAGAAAGCCAATCTCAGTGCAAGCTGAGAGCTGCTCTGTGCCATTGAGTGTGCCCATTTGCTGTGATCACTGATTCCAAGCTATTACATATGTAGCAGGAAATGTAATTCTCCATATACATTACATTCACTAGGGAGAAGAGACACACAACGCAGAGCTACCAAATTCTATTACGATTTTACAGTACGTTGCCATGTAGCTACTGTTGATTCAAGTGGAGTCATACCACTACAGTCTCACACCATAATGAGGGGCTTCAAAATAGTTTGTGGGTTATTTAGAGCAATTGATAGTATAAGAGGTTTCTAGTAAGAATTCCCTCTCGTAAGTTACAAATTGTTGTCAACAAATTTGCTGTCACAAATTCTAATAGCTGTGCCCCTTGGAGCTTAGGGTAGTTAGCTGGGAGAAGAGGATGCTTGCTCCACATTTTACTAGTGACCCACTGTTTGAGCTAGGATAGTTCACTTTGACACTATTTATTTTTTGACAAAACATGGGTGGTTACGTGTTCATAAGGACACCATAAAGCGTCTTACTTTTTTAAGGTGCTTTGAAATTTAACATTGAGTCACAAGAGAAAGTGTACAATGAAGTGGTACACATCTGTCTCTGCTATCTTGGGGAAAAACCATCTTGGTACACAAATTATGAGAAAGTGTATCTCGTATTCAACTTGTGTTGTCCCTTCTTCACAGTGACAACCAGCATAATATACAACTTCTAGTTAAAAAATACAGGTGGCATTCTTTTTTGTGTCATTATATCATGTAAATTCTAAAATGCTGTTTCCTGTTTATAACAGCGCTTCATACTACTTGGAAGTATACCTGTCCAAGGCAGCAGTACTTCACACATTCATGCTCCTTGTCTTCCTGCAATACTAGTTCTAATGGACAATCTTACTTGCAGGCTTGTTTACCTAGTGTCTTGCCCAATCCCATGGCTAAGCGGATGTGGGGTAATTTTAGGTGGCTTTTGATACGCTCAATTATGTCTGACAAGGAGACTGGCTCGCTCAGTGTGCACAGACGTCCCATTCCAGTATGGGGAAGAAGAGGCTGAAAAGAAATTCAAATTACTGTGAGAAAGCTGACTCCAGAAGTTCACATTGCTTTCCATACTGTACAAAGATGAGTATATTGGGCATTCAGAAGGAATGCCTCTGAACTCTACGAAAAAATACCTATGTGATGTTCTCAAATGTAGCATACTAACTACACTAGTTACTGGAACTGATTTAAGAATTAGTATAGGCCACACAGCTATTTTCATTGTTTTGGAAAATGTGTGTGGCTTCAAATCCCACAGGCCAGTATTTCAGAGCACTGATGGGGTAGCACAGGAAACCTGTGATGCTACTGACTACTGGATTTCAGAGTTTAGGGCACTCAGCTCACACAAGTAATACATTCACTGGAAGTAATACATGATTTTGTTACCTTTTGTAATAAGAGTATCTCAGTCTTGTTATATAGGCGGCTGTTCTGGGACAATAATGCCATCACCTCCAACAGTGCTTTCTGAGAGCAGTTCAAACTGACCCGTGTTTGCTCCTCACCTTCAACCCTAAGAAAAGATATACTTGGTGCTTGCTAAGAAACTAGATAAAATTTCAGCATTACATTAACATAAAACAAAGCTATTCTATCCCAGTGACTATTCTACCAGAGTAAGGAATAAAGAAGGCATTGTAACAGCCTAGCCTAGTCTACTGTACTCTCTTGGAAGAAACAGATATGGAAATTTAACTCAACTATCCTCACCAAATTTCCTGTTAATACTCTTCTTTACCACCTCTAATCTACACGATGCTAAACTGAGTTGCTGTTACCATTTAGCATAAACACAGACCGATCACAAAGGGGTGATTATTCTGTAAGGTTCTAGATCTGTTGCTGAAAATAATAGCAGCAGTATACAAACGAACAAAGTGATTACAACAGTAAAATATAATTCCAACAACATACTGTTTCAAACAACAGAAAGAATACAATGCTAGAAAGTGAAGCAGATACCTGGCAGGGAGAGTAGTGAGACAGGAGATCTCTTGGATGTCTTTGATTTTGGACAGCACTGTGTCCAGATGCTCAGTGTTGTCTGTGCAGAATTCGACCCTGTGAGTGCTCTCAGCTGGGTAGCTTGGTGCAGTTGATGGATGCAGTGGGACAGAAGTACAGGCACCTGAGGAAACAGTACCAGATTGCTGTTTTATAAAGCTGGGTAAGTATCCTAATACTGAATTAGCACATGTCCTAAAGAGATGCAACAAAAAGATGCAAATTTTGCACTTGAAGCCACTTTCCCTGACCACAACTGAGGACTTCTTGCCCTGTTGTCTCCATTAGACACAGTCTGTTTTAAATGCAAAGAAACTGATGGATATATATTATTTGTCATTCCTAATGCCATCTGCTTTACCCTAAGAATTATACTAAACCAAAATAGTTTCTGGTTTGTGAATCAGGCTAGAAAAGACATAGCTGTTTTTATTTATAAGCCACAATACAGGACAAAAATCTAAAAGAAATTCAGATACCTTAAGTCCTTTGAAAACAATGAGATCTTGCACTTTATAAATTAAAGGTGTTGATTTAAAGTCAGTGGTTTAAACTTTGTAACCAAAATGGACAATAAATATGTCGCACTAGTTCTGACTACATCCAATAGAAGAATCATGCATCTGAAAATGCAGTGTTTGTATCTGGTATTCCTCACCAAGATAAATTCCCTAAAATATGTTTTGAGTACTTAGAAGTACTAGAATATTAGGGAAAATAAAAAAAAAAACCCACCTCAAATCCTACATGTAAAAGCTGGAAGAAAGGAAAATGAGGGAAGGTTCCCACATAAAATAATGTATACTGATTAATAATTTTAACCTGTTTGTTTTTAACGGAATCTCACCGAGTCCCTTTGTTAGCCAGTTATTGACTCCATGAGGTACGGCATCGTAAGCCGTATGCGGAGAGTAAATCCCGATTCTGTGCTCCAGCGCTCGGACCACCAGCCGTTCCTTCCAGGTCTTCCACGTTACTCGCTTGAGTGGTGTGAATATGGGAGGGTGGTAAGAAAGGATAAGGTCTGCCTTCTTCTGCACTGCCTCTTCCATCACCTCCTCAGTGAGGTCGTTTGTGAGGAAAAGGGTGTCCACAGTGTGGGGAGGGCTTGGCTCCACCAGCAGCCCCACATTGTCCCAGCTTTCAGCCAGAGACAGGGATGCAAAGTCATTCAGGGCAGAAACCAGCTCCCGGAGGTTCATCAGGGAACGTGAGGGCAGGCGGCCCCAAGCACGGATGCAGCAGAGAGGCCGGCGAAGCAGCTGTGTGCCACGCAGCAGCATGCAGCTATCTGCAGAGAGGGTAAAAAAAGGCAGGAATAAGCCTGGGTAATTCACGGGCTGAAACAGTTAAGTGTCCAGGCTGCGAGCACAGCCCCGCTGGCAGAGGGGAGCGCGGCCCGGCTACCCCTCAGCTACGATGGGCAGCTTCGGGGCTCGGCGCCGCTGCAGGCCCCCATACTCACCTCACGCCGAGGCAGGGCCGAGGTCCGTGGGGCGGAGCGTGTGCCTGGCCCCGCCGCTTCCGCCACGCTGGAGGGGCTGGGGGTGGCCTCTCCGCGCTGTGCTGGGCATGAGCGGAGGAGAGCGAGCGCCTTCCTGCTCGCCCGAAAGGAGCCGCGGAGCCGCTTCCTGGTGCTGGGTGCTGGGTTTGGGTCTGGCCTCGGCAGGTTTGTGTGAGACCTCCGTGTAGCCGGGCAGCTGGAGGGAACCGCGGGGAGGAGGTTGCTGCCCAAGGCAGGCTGCAGCCCGGGGGGCCAAAAAAAAACTGCTGGCGGCTTGCCCGGCTTCTGTGAGAGGCTTTGCCAAGCCTTGGGGGTACCCAGGGAGGGCAGTATACAGAGAAGAAATCAGTGTGTAAAATTGTTGGTTTCTACACATTTCTACTGCGATTTTATTACCGTAATTCTAAATGCGTTATTGGAAAATATTACTAAGGTTAAAAAGCTTGATCCTATGCTTGCATTGAGGTGCCTGCCTGTTGCTGCCAGAAGGTGGCTCCAGATCACGCTTCTGTCTGGGTCCTGGCATGTGGCTTTTGTGTGTTCATTTCTGTCATTTATAAAAACCATAATATTTGGAAAAGCTGTGATTTCTTCGTATAAACTTTAATCTTAAGAAATTGAGTTTTGTCCCCACCTCTTTCCTCTATGCTGTTTTGTTTTGTTTTTTTTTCCTTTCCAGTTCTTTATATGCTGTGTAGTTGCATCATGCAAGCAAAACATTTAGCCACAGGGTCACTTTGATGGCATTGTAAAACTGTGTGGTATAAAAGCATATAACCACACATATTTCAGAGCCAAAAATAATTTGGGATGAGTGGAAATAACCCAGTAATTTTCATGTTTTCTTTGCAGGAAATTGCTATATAGAAATCTAGTTTGTCTTTTTGACAAGCAGACATGGTGAGAACAATATTACTTTTTATATATTTTCATTCTTCTCATGGAACGTGAATAGCTGCTCTGCATCTCAAAGGATTACACATTTTACTCTGATGCTGAATTTGTAATGAAAAGCTTAGGTTTTTATTTCAGACTACTAAAAACATATTGTGGAAAGGAAAATAGCTCAATTTACTATTTCATCAGTCTAAAATACAATTAGCCCTTCAGCTCCAATATCCTAAATTTTAATCCTGCTTTGGCTAATATTTGGTAATGTAGTTTAGTTTCTTTTACTACAGAAGCATTGTTTGAGTATATGTAACCTGCTACACTTGCAGGCTTTTAACAGTTTAGCAAATCATGAAACAGAGATAAGACTGTACATCTTAAGCTGTACATGCACCTTTTATAGTATCTTCATGGACTTTGCAGGCAACTGTCTTGTCTTGTAGTGCTTCTGGAACAATAAGCCAGTATCAACATGATGCTGGTTTTTATTAGTTTTTCAGTATGCTTATCCCTAGTACAGCCCCACAGTGATTGGTTTTGCATAGTTTAGCACTTTCTGTGGGAGGGCTATGATATACTGGGCCTACAGAGTTATATTTACTTTGCTGGCTGGGTAACTGCCATTTTAAATTTTATGAAAGTTATTTATAAATTCTTTTAAAAAGTGTGTAATATTGTACATTTGCTCATTTGTGGAGGCAGATTGTATATCCTGCATGCAGAACTAGCCTTAAAAGGCTGCAAACCTCTTGGTCCTCTGGTTGTAAACCATTAGTGCATGTGCACTACACTGTGATCTCCTGAAATAAATACAACTTTGATTCTTCAACTTTGCAATTAAAGGACTGAGTAAGTCTGGTTTGCAAATGAGTGATGTATCTCTGGAGTGTAACAGCATGAAACAGAGCTTCTGCGTTACCATGGCAGACTTGATTTGTTCTGAAACTAAATGAAACCAAGTGCTTTCTGGTGGTTTTGCTGGAAATGTGTGAAGTTTGTGACAGGAGCCTATGTCCAAATATTGAAATGGTGGTTCTATGCAGTGGGAACTTTTTTAATGTTCATAGTAAAACTAGAAAATAAACCTGAGTTTCTTAGTGTTGCATTGCTGGTTTAATTCTTATTTTCTGCTTCTTGCTCAGGCTGTCACACTGCATACTGATGTAGGAGATATCAAAATTGAACTGTTCTGTGAGCGTACACCAAAGACTTGCGAAGTAAGTCAAGTGACAGGAGCAGGATGGCCTAGTGTTGAAACATAGCAGTAGCAATAGTGAAGACTCTGGAGGAGGTGAAGTGGCTTTTGCAATTCATCTTTTCACTTAGGGGAATGCTAACATTTTCAGCTGGTACAGCACATATCCCACTCATGGAACTTGTGCACTGTATCCTTGTGCACTGTGTTGTGCCATCTAGAGCTTTGCTGTCTGTTTTTCACCAGACAGGTTTTAGCTGAGGGCTGATTCTTTCCAAGTTCCAGCATCTCCCATAGTGTCCTTTGCCCTTAAGGGGAAATATGGCACATGGCCTGCAATTCCTAAATTTCCCTTTGTTTGCTTACACTTGCACAGATCTGCTTTTAATTTAAAAGAGTAAGAACCATTGCCAATTTGTCAGAGGCCCCAGGTTTTCCTTTCTGCAATAAACTTAAGCTTAAATTGAAATAATTTGCTTTTTAACTAACAAAGCTGAGACCTGAAGTTATTGACTACAAAATTACATTTACAAAAGAAAAATGTTGAATGGAAGTGATACTTCTGAGCATGTCTCAGGCTTCTTGTTTCTCAAGTCAGACAACATTGTGCTGTAAGCTTTATTTAAAATCCTTTCTATCTGTGACAGTGTCAAAGCAGCATATTAGCTGTAATTTGTTTATGACTATCCTGTGGCAATATGCTGTGGAATTCACGTGGTCACAATGCATAACTGAGGCAAAAGGGTTAGTCTTGGTCTTGCCAATGCTGTCCTTTGAGTAAGAGGATACTATGTCTGAATTGTTTGTTAATATGGTTTGTTTAATTTCCTTAGAATTTCCTGGCTCTTTGTGCTAGTAACTACTACAATGGATGCATATTTCACCGGAATATAAAGGGCTTCATGGTTCAGACAGGGGATCCATTAGGTAAATTCTAAGGTCTCTCTATAGATAAATGTACGTAAAAATAAAATAAAAAGACAGTTTCTTGAATTATAAATGTGAATAGTAAAACAAATAAAGTAAAAATAACCTTTAAGAATGGAATTGTTAATAGAGGTTTTTATGAGATTAATTTTCTGTGGGAGAAGAGCAGCCGTTACTGTAGTGAAGCAGTAAGTAGTAAAGCATTCTACAAACTTTAGTTTTTCCAGCAGTTTCCACTAAATATGATGGTTCTGCTGACTTAGCAGCTGTCAAACAGGTAGCAGTTGCTACTGTGGTTTCTCTGGTTTTGACTCAAAGGCTACACTGCCTCTAAAGCATTTGGGGAAAATGTCCCAGACAGTGTTAACTGTTTTGGAGAAATTCTGATTTAACTGTGTGCCTGCTTGTACTCACACTGAATTTAATTTGAGGATATGTCAGTGCTTTGTTTTGCTAATTAATAGGTGTTCCTTATATAGAGTTACGTCTTTGCTCACTGTCAAGACATTAGAAACCTATTCCTGCCTCAAACGAATTACAGGCTATCTA